TGATGTGGTAACCCTTCGTTGTCATATTTTGTAAAGTTTCACTGAATATCACTTTGGATCAAATTGGCCAATTGATGCTGCCATTCTAAAACTTCGTCTAATATGAACAAAAAAATATGGAATATATTTTGAACATTCAATGTGTGTTTTATTGATAATAACTAGGGATGTATCGGATCGTAAAATTACCGAATACCGGATATTCCGGATAGAATAATCAGATATTCGGTATTCGCGAATTTCTTCGAGTCGGATATCCGACATTTTCCGACATATTCTGAGAAAGTGTCTTCTAAAAAAAATCCTATAGAAAAAAAGATTGTAATTTTGTAACAATGTATAAGATATTAGTTGCTTTCCATTTACAAGTGAAACTGAGTCTGAAATATTTTATACTCAGCTGAGTATTTTATATTCAGATTAATGATGTCACTACTTGCTTACTTTGGTAAAAATAGTTGTCATATATATGTCAACACAAATTTATAACCTCACTTTGAAGTGAATTTACGAGACTCACTAAAGCACACGGTCTCAATCTTGTAGATTATAGGTAAAAACTCAGTTGAATCTCACTCGTCAGAATGCAAAAGGAACGCGCATTCAACTAGTTATGACGTCACAAGTGAGAATTATCTGAGAATCGATGTAAATGGAAAACAACTATTATAGCATCATGAATTAATATGCATGTTTATTTCTAGAACATTTGTATAAGAAAAAATCAACAATTTAATGATCAAATTTAATGATTAAATTTCAATATATTTAGATATATTTCCGGATACTTGTGATATCCGGCTATCCGGATAGTAAAAAAGTGCCGGATAATACCGGACATTTTCCTAATAATAACATTACGAGTCAAATAACAATATGTTTAAAAAATTTTTGAACATGTACATGTAAAAAAAATAAATTTTAACATACAATAAAAAGATGTAATTTCTTTATTTTTAATTTTTTAATTAATTTTTTAAATAAAATTTTAGGATAGTACTTCTAAAATGTAGTACTTTTAGGTGAAAATATGTACTAATATGTATTTAAAAAAAAATTTTTTTTTCGAATATGAAGAAGTTTTATTGTTTTTTTCTTCAAATATAGTGTTTCTAATACAGTGTTTTTTAATAGTCTCTAATTGTCTCAATCAAGAGAAGAGACTTCAAACTTCTGATTGATATCGCATGACGCTCAATTACAATTTATGTCGTAGTCATACAGAAATCCAGATTACGGGATTATTAAATCATTTTGATGATCCGTTGTGATAACGAAGAATTAATTAAATTTATGGAATTCTTTCTTTTTCAAATATAAAATTTTTATTGTGTGTTTACTGTTAGATGCAATACTGGAAATAATCCTATCTTTTTACATATAGAAATTGTTTTTTGTTTTTATTTTTTAATTTTTTAATGATTATTTTAATAACTGATGTTTTATTATCACAATGTGTTGATATTTTATATTTATCATGAAAATTAATAAGCATTTGTATTAGACAAATCGCGATTATTATAATAATCGGATAATATTGCGATTGCAATATGGTATGATAATTACGGTTTACTCAATTCATTTAACGTATTTGCACGTAAAAACGAAATAATTCATGAAGCAACTGATGTTGTGTTCTCATTATACATATAAAATATTAACTATTTTTAAGTACCTACTATTTTGCACTAAGCTTCACCTTTACTGTTATATTCATTTATATTTGCAAATAAAAATATAACTCTCATATGTACTCGCACTGTCAAGTGCGACTGTAACACAGTAGTGTTGTAACACGAGAGACAAAAAGCATTAAGTAGAAATATATAAAACGTATCACATGACGCGTGAACGTCACTACATACATGTTCATGATATTGACAACGTTATTGACAATGTTTGCTACTATTAGCTTTATCTGGAATTCTTATGTCAACGAATTTTTAATTAAAAAATTATTCAGAAATTAAAACTACAATAAAAATCTAACATTTTTTGACATAATATCTAATTTTTTTTTATATAATGTTATCCGAATAAAATTGGTGCAGTCAATATCAAGATTTCGAGATTAATGATTCAACAATGTAAATGTAATTGGTAATACATGAGGACATATATATATAAAGTTATATTGTTGAATACAAGATTATGATATTGATATTATGCTACTTTTAATTAATGCCGACTAGAACGAAGGAAATATGCAAAAATTCACCTAGCATCTTTAACACTCTCCTAGATGATCGTCCAGGATAATGTCTGCAGTTTCTCGACTCAGTTCTACCTGGGACAGTCATGTTCGACTTTCTGAGCTTGAGGCCGATCAGCACGTAGAGAAACGTAATCAGACACATCGGTATCACGAAGAACAGGAACGTGGAGAGCTCGAACGAGTGGCTGACGATGATTCTCTTGACTGTGCACATCACCATGTCCGAATGCTCGTTATGTCGGACTACACCAAACTGCAAGGCTTGTGGTAGTGCGAACAATAACGCTACTAGCCATATTATCAGGATCAGTTTAATCGCACGGGAGAGATTCGATAAGGTCTGCGAGAGGAATGGATGACAGATTGCCACATATCTTTCGACGGTAAAGGAAGCAATAGTGAGTACTGATGCATTTGTGGATGTCTCCGATGCGAGGCCACGCAGTACGCAGAAACCCTCACCGAAGATATAGGGATACTTGCACCAGACCAGGTACATCTCCGCTGGTAGACCCGACACTAATAGCAACAGGTCTGATACGGCCAAGCTAAAGAGATAATAGTTCGTGGCGGTGTGCATAGACTTATTGCGCGCAATCACGATGCACGTGCTGACGTTGCCGATGATGCCCGTGAGGAAGATTGCCGCGTAGATTACAGTCACTGGTATTACCACGTACAGAGAATCCCGATATGAGCCGGACGACATGCTCGTCGATCCTAAGACGTCTACGTACGTATCATTGAAATAATGCTCCGATGACGACGCCAGATCATCGTAGCTGATTTTTAAGTAAGTGCTGTTTGATAGGATGCGGGCCATCCCAATCATTTGATGCGTGCGTGCTTGGAAAATCCTTTACTCCTTACATTAATAATTTTTTAATTTTTTAATAATTCATAGCAAAATCAGGACATTTTTTCTTTTTGTTAATTCTTGTCGATCAGCTTCGTATAATAAAGTTTTGGTCTGCTGTATGCATCATTACATTCTTTTTCTTTTGTTTCAATATTTTTTCGTTTCATTTTATCATAAATAAATTAATCTCTCATATGGAAAAGATAGGAACGAAAAAAACTTGATGTCTAATTCACTTAATTTTGAAATTCAATCTCAAAAGAGTTATCAAATGAAATTATGATATAGATCCTATTTTTATATATTGAAATTATAGATACTCTTATATCTACTGTATAAATTTGTTTTGCTCCTTGACATTCTGGATCACTTGCAATAATTAATTCTTTTCTAATAATTCGAAGTGAAATTCAGACGTACTTTCAGTTTGTCAATTGGTTTTATATAATAAATTTTTGCATGCACTGTTAAGTTCATCATCTTCTTCTTCTATTTAAGTTTTTGTCATGCAAATAAATGTTGCAAATAAATTAGCCTCTTATAAAAGATAAGAACGAAAGAAACTTGCGACCTATTATTTAATTTTGCAGATTAATTTCCAAAAGTTGTCGAAATTACGTATAGGACTTGTATCTGTACTCAAGATATATATTCAAGATCTTCCCACATTTACTATAGAAATTCGTTTCAAATAGGGCGATAACTTATTATCATTTATTTTATTACTGAAGCATGTACAAGCTTGAGATCACGAAACTCATGAAATGTTTCACGAAGTGAACTGAAGACAAATGAAAACAAATGTGTTACGATGTCGCTTTTTATCAAACACCAATTCGAAATAACTATTTTTTTATATTTTCGTGTCGATAAATTGTTGTTTATTTAACTTCCTCATATATGTGATAGGTAGAGAGCACGTGACGATTCTTTTTCCCACTCAAGACTGATTGCGCGATTTTGCTCGTGATTTGTTTGCTTCTGGACGTTTGTTCACGCAAAGTGCGATACCGCCACTACAGACGCCGATCGAATCACGACTGCCGACGGTGTCGACGCGCCGAAGAACGCCGGCTGTCCATTTCATCCGGCAGCTTCAGCGCTGGCGCGCCAATGTTTCTCGATGCTTCATATCTACCGGAATTTTCCCCTTCTGCTTCTATATCCTTTTACTTTGGATCATAAAAGATAATAATAAGGACATCTTTGTTATTTTTTCTTAGAGTTCTTGAGTCGTGTATCCGTCTTTCACACACGCGCACGCATACAAAATAAGCACATTCAATCTTTATGGTGGACATTTATTTGCCGAAATGCTAACAAATTTACGATTTTATCCATCCCTGACACAGACTAAGTTATTTTTATATATTTGTTCAGGTCATTCTCTCACTCTCTCGCAAATCCTTTTGACATTTTTCTTCTATTTCAACATACTCCTTTAAATATAAAATAAATAATGAAAAAAGTTGCTGTATATAAAAATATAAAGAACAAAATAATCTGAAGATAGTATCTTATATAATCAAAATTGTGATATTTTTATAAACTCCTCTATAAATACAACAAGTAATTATCTAATAGCAATTATGAAGCATTGATGAAGCCGTTCTACAATCGTGCGCATTTCCATACATGTATCTTGCGCTTCATTACATAAGTCGAAACTACATAAACTTGCTTCGAATCGAACAGCGCAGAAAATAAGTAATAATAAAATTGCTATCTGTGAGAAAAATAAAATTATTAATTGTATATGGAAGTATTGTATATAGAACTACTTTAATATTCTCAAGCGCTTTGTCAATAACATAAATTCAAAATCGCTTATGTAGTGAGGCACACATTTGTATTATCGTGTAATTTATATTTATCTGTTAAATTAATTTACGAGAAATAATCAGATTATTCAAGAGCATTACTACGCATTAAAACGGATTATTATACTTCGCATTTGTTCTGATAAGTGTTATAGCTCTATAATAGTTTGTATTCCAGGATGCTAGCGTTATCAAAACAAGATAAAGTGCGTCGGCGTTCGTCTCTACTTTCGCAATTTGCGGCAACCTTAAGATTGCAGAGACTGTCATAGATATCATTAAGGCCCGTAATGCAACATAATCACCTTTGCCAATTAACACTTGAAATACTAGTCCTTCCCTTCCCCCCCTTAAAATTCTGGTCTCTCTCAATTTACCGTGCTTTACTGTACTTCCTTTGTCTTTATTTTTATCCTGTGTTCCTGAAAACTGTCAATTCATCCACCTAACCTAACCTTCTTCTCTCCATTTACAAACGGTTCCTAAGGGCACGTTTAGATTCCTATCCCCGAATGCTTCCTCCTTATGTTATTTTTATTATTCGATAAGCAATAAGAATAAAATGATAAAATGAGTGTCATACGGGTCCATGAATATAGCCTACCTAAAGTGTCGGCTATTTACTTCAATTTTAATCATGCTGTACAACTTTTAAGAAACTATATACTTGATAATTTTGATAATTTATTATTTATTGCTATACACTATTTATTATTAATTGATATTTTACGAACGATATCGTGCAATTTGTACGTCAATTCTTCTCTGCAAAAAAAGAATTCATGAAAACGTATCAAAACTGTTACTTTTGTCAAAGTCTATCGTAATAATGCTCTTGAGCTCACGACCTGTTAAGTACAAATTAAGTTGCGAGTACCTAAATAAAAAGTGCATAGTGTGCATTGTATTGATTAACAATTCTTAAGTCTTTACGTTAATTGATCATTTGGACCGTACTGTGAAGCTGACCCGCATCTAGTTTAATTATCTTGCTTAATTAATATCTTTAGTAACATTACACGCAGTCAACCATTCCCGTCCTTTGTTGTATCTCATCCTAAGAACAACGTAAGATCCATTTATTATTAGGACTTTATTAAGTATTAATTACGTTATTAATAGATAATGTTAAACATCGAGACACTAGTCTTCATAAATAGAATCAAGTAAAGAGAGAAAAAAAAATTGACTTTTACAAACAACTCATTAATTTAAAGCTTAAATTAGAGTTGTAAACAAAACATTTTCGAAATCACGAACGCGTGAATACGATACATTTGAATTATAATCATATCCGTCATGAGAGAAAATTTTTCTTTAAAGGAAGCTCATTTTCTCATGTAATCATTTGAATGCACTGCATTCTGCGGAACATGCAATAAATAATAAACATATTTGCATGTTATCTGATTACATAAGCAACACGTGATTAAAATAATCATAATTATGTAAGGTTTTTAAAAGTTACAAAAATATTTTATTCTTTTGCATGACTCAAGTGGTCATATGTTCATATACGTTTTTTAAAACTAACGTTTTATAATTTCTTAAAAAATATATACATATATAAGCGCACGCACGCACGCACGCACGCACGCACGCACGCACGCACGCACGCACGCACACACACACACGCACGCACACACACACACACACACACACACACACACACATATACATATTAAACAATATATGTTACTTGGAGATTATACTTCTGTACAAAAAATATTGTATTAAAAATATTGCGATAATTTTCATTTACATTCAAATCGACATATTATGTTTGAAATAGAATGTAGAGAACATAAAAAATATATTTACAGATCGCATTAAGCATGAGATACAAATAAAAAGCATAAGTAATAGAAACAGGGAACAATAGATTTCAACCTATCCAAAACCGTGTATTATGATATACATGATTGTTGATAGATAGAAATCTGTTATTTCCTATTGCCTATACTTTTCAATTGTTTCAAGCTTTACTTCGTAATAGGAACTTATCTCGACGATATCGTATTTTACACCTTCAACGTTTGTATGCGAGTTTACGATACTTGAGAATGCAAGAAAATGTCATTATTATATTTCAATGATATGATAACGCAAAATGCTTTGCTTTTTCTATTATATAGTGGCATAAAAATTGTTATTATTGTATGATATTACTGCACGATATTACACGTAAAGTAGCAGTTAATAATAATAAATGATATACACAGTTGTAAATAATATATTATTAAAATTCTCGAATACAATACTCTAAAATTAAAATTGCATTAATTATATTAGTAAGTATGTGTCATGATTAATGGATTAATAATATGACATTATTCGATAAACTATAATACCGTTTGACAAACCATACTTTCTTAATTGAGATTACATGTAATACTTGATATTATAACGTAATTATAATTAAAGATAATAAACCACCGATATGCAGTATCCAATTAATGCAAACTGAATTTAATTGTAGAATCTCCGTTTAGTAATCGAAATGTCACAATTAAATAAGCATTTCTTCTTTTTGAATTAGAAGTACTGTTAATTAAAAAAAAAAAAAAACTTTATTTTTCCGCCTGTACTTTGTAAGTATTTTAGGAAAGCATTCACGATCCGCGATATCGGTTACGGGATATTGTCTATGATAAAGGAGATATGAAGTATGCGCTGATATACGAATATAATATGTCTCAAAATCATGCAATATCTGCCGATATGAAATTTTTCTATATTAATATGTAGAATTATAATAGTAATATAATTTTATGCTTATTATAGAATGATACAACATAATTACAAACGATTGTATGTAAATTCAGTATTTAATGCAACATTTCATCCAATATTTTTTTCACAAGCGAAATATTTATTTATCATATTTAGCATATTTTTTCATCAACCTCTTTCATTACTTAGATAGCACATCTTTAGAATCATCCTGAATATGTCTTAGGATGTTCTGAGACATTTTGAGAACAGTCATGTATCCACGAAACGTCCTGAGGACGTCTTCAGGATTTATTTAAGACAATTTAAGATATAATTTAAGACAATCTCAAGGGAGGACAGCTTCAGAGCGCTTCTAGGGCAGTCTGAAAAAACGTTCTGAGATACAATATTACATTGCTCTTCGCTCTGATGAAGTGAACTGCAATGTTCACAAATCGTTGGCATTTTAAGAATGGATTTGGACACGGAGATAATCCGCGAAACGCATAATTTCTGTAAAGTGATTTTTATATATTTTCATGTACACCTTACATGAATTCGGGAACGCTTTAAAAAAATTCTTTTAATTCTTAAATATTTGATAAATAATTTACGCGACTCGAGAAGATAATAAAATTTTTTTATTCCTTTTTTTCTGTAAACTTTATAATTGAAGTTAAAAATATTTTGTAAAAATGAATTTTTATCCGCGAAAAGTTTAATTGATATTATTATCACATCTATTTTTAAAAAAATCACTTTAAAACTTAGAAAATTTTATGTATATTTTAATGTATATTTTAATGTATATTTTCGTTAAGCTTTGTTTAATAATGTTTCGAGCTATAGCGTTTCAAAGTAAAACAAAATATTGAAAAAGTTATGCATAATTGTCAATTTTCAAATATTCAAACTTAGAGTTCTCATTTTCAACTTAGTAAACGTAAAAATTATCTACTATTTCCATATCTATCGATTCCCTAGATCCGAAAACGAGCCATCATCATGACTTAAAATTGCAATTCTTTCGAAAAATAGCAAATAGGCTCTACGACTTTATAGGGATTATTTTTAGTGCCTCAAAATAATCGAATAAAGGCTGATCAAAATCCATGAAATGCATGTCTGAGTCTCTTTGTTAGTTAGGCAAATTATTTATTATTATATTATGTTATATATTGCACCTTATAATTGTTATAATGGATATTGAAACTATAATTTAAAAAATCTCAACAGATATCATTGAACATTATTAATTATGAGGAAATAAACCTATTTAGAAAAGGAGTAAACAATTAATTGTAAACTTGTGTGCAACATTTTCCAAATAAAAACTATCATCTCATCCACGTTCTTTTGCTATCATTTATTCTCTAGTAGAATATCTATTTACACGTAAAACAAACATAAGACAGATTTAATTTAACTATGAAATAAGCGTAATAATTTCCTAGTTCGAAATACAAGATAGAAGAAGAAAGGCGTCAAGTGTCATCCATAATAACGTTGACGTATATTCGGTGCAGGAACTTTCACCTGTAATCATGATGATAAGTATAATTAAATTTGTATAAGCACGCGATTACTTATGTAATAATCGGTATTATAATAAGATTTGATTGAAATATTTCATTAAACATATAAAAAATACAGAACTATTTATTTATTAAAGCTTTGTATTTCGTTCTTTAAGTCAGTGAGAGCAAAAGTATTAATACAGTGAGAGCAAAAGTATTAGTACACACAAAAGATCTTTTTAAAGAAAGCCTTATTTTTTTAAAATAAGCAATTTAATTACCAATTTTTTAACAATAAATGAATAAATTTTGCACTTATTAAAATTATTCTACCTAAACAGACATATAATGATTAAAATATGTTATTTTTAAAATAAACAAAGCTAAAAAATTAAATTATATTTAAACGCACAAAAAAATATTCATATAGTTGAAATAAGATTTAACTTACAACTTGTAAGATCATGAACATGAAGTTCTTTTGTTTATATTAAGAGGGAATGTACTCATTGAATAAAATTGCAAATTAATATTTATTTTTTACAAGTATAAATTTCTATATAAAGTTTTGATATAAAAAAATGTTTCCTATATAGTATTTTTGCATTCACTATACTTATAACATTAAACAAATATATTTACGAGACGATACACCAAAACTTACCTGAAAATGATTGGTAACACCGTAGTAAGGATATACGCCGCCAAGGACATAGCGATAATAACCATTATGTCTTATGCGATACTCGCCCAGTTTAATATCCTGCGGGATTTTCCACGTAATGGTCATCTGACTCGACCCTAGTATCACAGAAGTTCGTTTCCATTGAAATCTAAAAACCCACATATGTTCCATTATGATTTATTACGCTATGAAAGGTAAAAAATGAGCCATAGCTAGAAGTTAAAAGAAAGAATGGCATTTCGTATTCTAACATTTGTCTAATTATATCGATATATAGATACATCAAAATGGTTGTACGCAATAATGCAATTTGATACACGTACTTGGTCTCCCAATCGGCATCCGTGGCTACTGGTATCCAAACTTCATCATCGCCTAATCGTTCCACGGTTATGAACGTGTTCTCGGTCATTAAATTGTTACGAGGATGACCAGCGACCTGCAACAGAAATAATAAATAACACTATACGTCGTATAGCTGTGCAAATTTGTTCCTCCTCAATCTATTATTGTTGCGCTTCATTTGTAATCGAACACGCGAAGCGTGTACATATCTATCTACCCGAAGATAAACGAGAATGCTTCTACCTTAAAATACGATCTTTATTTGGAAAAAAATCGCAAAGCGACGTGTTTTACATATTTACCACAGTCAGATATCGTAAGCAGCGTTCGTGCGAAAGAAGTTTTCCCAAGCGATCAATACGAACTGGGGTGGGAGGAGGGGAGGGGGGACAGAGAAGTTTTAAACTGACCTCGCGCGTAAGTCACGGACTGTGATTCATTTGTACCTGTGCTTTCACGATGCATCTCGCGTCTCCGCCGCCGGAAATTATAGCCAGAAGGTAATTTATGATTACTTAATCCATTCGCACTGCCTCATCGAAGGCAACCTATTTTCCGAGTGTTAGGCGAGTGCGGGAAAACAGCGCTGCTTTTTATTGCGTGACTCAATCGCGATAAAAACGCGGATATGCCACGATTAACAATGAACGGCGATTTCCATTGTAAAAGACCAACGCGACGATCGTTTTTGCCTTCATTCGAACCAACGAAAGTATGTAAGAAAAATTTCTTAAAAAAATTGCACATTAAAATAAAATAATTTTATATAATAATTTATTAAAATATATAT